ATGAGAACAGTGCCTGGCATATCAGAAGAGCTGAGTGAGTGCTAATTGTCTCTGTCATGGAACCTGGGCTTGAGAGCTGGGCTCTGCAACAAACAGACCTGCCACTCGGGGTCTGGGTGGCCGTCACCAGTGTCTGCAGCTCTCCAAACCCCTATTCCCCCTGTGGACACCCAGTCGCTGATGCCTAAGCCCACGGGAACGAGCTCATGTGCGCAGGGAGCCTGCACCATGCCCAGGGATGGGCCTCTAAAGGGGGTCTGGGGTCTTACTAACCTGGCCGCCACGAATGCCATCCGATGGGCTGGCCTGTCACCCTTGGTGGGCGGGGGACCCTGCCTCCCCACCCAAGAAGGAGTGAGGCTCTCCAGGAACTTGAGGGAAACCACTGCATAGATATCCTGGTGGAACCTCTTTCCGGATTCCAGAGAGGCGGGGCCTGACTCCAGCCCTCTGGGACTGGGAGCTCGAGGCTTGGCCGGTACTCACAGCTGAGTCCTTCCAGCCAGCCCAGGCAGGAGGGGAACTTGGGGGGCAGAGGAGAGGGGGTGCAGAAGGGATGAGTGACTGATGCACAACACGCCCACCCGAGCTCGGCCTGGGGTCTGAGCACAAAAGGCAGCTCAGGGCGGCACGCTACACTGCGCAGGCTGTGGCACACCGTGGGTCACAACCAGCATTTTAAGGAGAATTTAGTATAGAATATGATGAAAAGGAATATATCAGAGTTCTAATTTTATCTATACGGGTTGTGCGTGTTGGGTTGAGACATGAAACGTATGTATTTCTATCACGTGTAGTCAAAAAAGTTTCAGAAACACTGGCTTAAAACTGTCTCCTCCAAGAGTGGGAAAGAGAACACGCATGATTTGAGGTTTGAGAACGTGTCAGGGCTGTTATTTCACATGAGCTTATCTGTGTCTCATAACTCTCCTCCCAGGTAGGCATCGCTATATATCCCCAATTTACAGATGAGGAAACTGAGGCCACACTGACTGTTTAGAGCATACAACAAAAGTCTGGAACCCTGGTTTGGTTGACTCCAAAGTCAGAGGCCTTGCCACAGTAGCAACCACACACACACACACACACACACACACACACTTGTATGCACACACACACAGGCACACAAGCAAGAGGACCGTGTCCTGGATTTGACTTTGTACCTTCCTGTTGTGGAGTACACAGCCGCACACCTCGTCACTGTGAGGCGAGCTTTCCAGGGAGAGGGCTCGTGTCTCTGGGCTCACATGCAACACCGATGACAAGAGCTAACATTTCTTGAGCACTTGCTGCATGCCAGGCACTCTCCTAACATTTTACACGTAGTCTCCCACATAATCCTCCCAAGGGCCTTGGAGGTGGGTGGTGGTATTACCCCCACTCCCTTCCTGCCTCCTGCCTAGGGGCTGGGCATGTAACCTGGACAGGCACGAGGAACAGACGTTTGCCAGGGGAGCTCCTGGGAAATATTACCGCCTCCCTGAGACCCTCTTACTTGGCGGCTCCCTGCTTCCCACCTCAATAGTGATCCCATGAGGATGTGAGGCCTGCAGCAGGGATGGCGATCTTGCACCCACGAGGGGAAGGCTGCGGGAGGGACCCACCCAGAGGCCAGCCTGGCGAGCGCGCTGCACCAGCCACAGCACTGCTACCCCTGGACGTCTTGTTACCGGAAGGAACTGGACATCCTTCCAGCTTAAGCTCCGTGTAGCCCAAAGCACTCTTGCGGCCTCTCCCTCTGGAAGGACAGCCCAGGGGCAAACTCTTGGGGAGGAGGAGGGGAATCCACCCACCTTTCTTCTGTCTGATTCGGAGGAGGTAGAGGGCCGCGATCAGCAGGGCCACCAGCAAGGCGCACACCACGCCCACCACGATAAAGATACCGTTCAGACTGTGAGGCTTCTCTAGGGGTCAGAGGGAACAGAAGGTTCATGGACGCAAATTAAAAACAGTGAAATTTAAAACCCACCGCCCCTCTTCACCACTAGGCAGGCATCATTAACATCTGGCTGGGCCTTCTCAGAAGTTTCAAGCCACACGGGCACGTCATGGGTCTGCACACACTTCCGCAGAGGGGGTCACCCACAGGCAGTGTAAAACCATGCCGAGGGGCCAGAAGGGAAAATGCTTGTTGCTGACAGCTATGGAGGAAGCCCAGTTACAGGATGTGGGCAGAAATCTCACTCCCAAAGAATGGAAACATGTTCCTCCTCATCTCAGTGAACCACAGAGCAGCCACCACGGCAGCACAGGTCCATCCAAAACTCTGAATCGCTACTGGGATGTCCCACAGCAGCTGTGGGGAAGGGACAGTCAGGAATGGCAGACGTGCAGCTGGCTACAGGACTCTGCAGGGCTCGCAGGGGCTGTCCACTGACCTGTGCCTGGGACCTGGGCCCCTTACGACCCAGGTCGCATCAGCATACGAGCTCTGAACCCACACTCTTGAAATGGAGACAGGGACTTGGCTGGCCCCAGGGCACCGGCAGGGGATCCTATACTAGAGCATGCTGGGTAGTCAGGAGCAGGGTTCTGAGCCACAGACACATGGGTTCAAATCAAGGCCCCTGGTTGTGTGACCTTGAGCAAGTCATTTAACCCTCCCTCCACACACCGGCTTCCTCTCATGTTACTGAGCCAATAATCATCTCTACCTCATTGGAGAGCTCTGAGGATTAACTCACTAAGTAACCAATCAACCAACTCACTCTTTTATCCTTTCTAAAAGTATTTCTTGAGTGTCTACTATGTGCCAGGCTGTGCCAGGTCCTGAAGCTACGATACTGAGCAAGACAGTCATGGTCTCTAGCAGCTGAGACTCAAAGCTGAGGAGTCACAAGGCTCATCTCATTCGACCCTGCCATGAGCAAGCAGAGGCCCAGAGAGAGGCAACGACTTATCCAAGGCCACCCAGCAAGTCTGTGACAGAGCCAGCGTGGAAATCCTCACAGCCTCTCTCCCAGTGCAGTACTCATTCTATGAAAACCAGGCTTCGGTGACATGAAAGAGACACCCTGACAGGGTCCCAAGGCTTCTTTAGAGCTCCCCATTCCCTTGAAGGATGCATGAAGGAAAAAAAGTGGTCTCTATTCTAACCCATTCAAAGAGTCTGCTATGTACAAGGCATAGCCATGCTAATGACAGGTGCTGGAACATTCCACAGTGGCATCGAAACACCAACTAGGTACTGCCATTTTGAAGAAAGAAGAGGGACACATCAACAACAGGTTGGAAGGGGGCTGAGAAAATGGTACCCCAACACCCTTTACTCTCCCAGGAGAGTGGCAGTGTTATCATGGTCTTAATGGGCATGCACTTGGCCTAGAAATGCTCTCTGGGAAACTGTTGCACAGAAACAGCTGCACATGGAACGGAAGGTGCTCAAGGACGTTTACTGCAGCAGAGATTACACCTGAGATAAGCCACAAACGTCCTGAAGCCCCCGCCCCCATTCCTAGAGTGACAAGCTTGCAATGCCGGCCAGCGGGGCTAGGCAGAGGTTAGAGAGAGCAAGGAGGAGGGGGGTGGGCTGACGTGGGTGGTGACATAATCATTGTTAGGTGGAGAAAGCAAGAGGCAGGATGGTATGAACAGGATGAGCTCCCTCCTTCCCTTCTTCTTTCTTTAATGTATATTTATGTCAACAGATCTATAAAGATATGTACCAAACTCTTACCAGTGGTGACTCTTTGAGTATGTAATTTGTGGGAGGGGAGCTTACTTTAAAATTCTACTTTATATTCATAGACTTCCGGATTATTCTATAATAAACATAAATTACTACTTTTAACATTCCAAAAAAGATAAAATTTAAAAAGAGCCAGGTCAGTAGGAGTGGAGGCCTCACCAGGGGTTCCACCTGTGTCCTGCTCCTTCTGGTGGGCAGAGGCCTCCAGGGTATGGTGTTTGGTGATCGCCGGCTGCCCGTCATGCTCCACCTGGCAGGTGAGCATCACATCCTCCCTGTGGGCAGATGAGTTCACCAGGAGCCAGCTCGTCCAGTTAAAGGTCCCATCTTTATTCTCTATGAGGGGCGAGGCCATTTCTGTTCGGGACACGTTTCCGTTCTCCAACCAGGTCAGCTTTAGGTGCCGGGGGTAGAACTTGTTCACCTGACAGGTGATGTTCACCAGGTTCCCTGCCGTGGGCTGTTGGGAAATCTCCAGGGTGGGTGGAACTGAAACAGCACAGGGCAGAAGCTCTGACCTTATGGAACAGACAGATCACAGAGGAGGGCTCCATAACTTAGCTCCCATCACAGATGGGAATCACCCAGGACAGTGCTAGGCATGCAGCAGGCGCTCAAACACTGAGGGTGCTCTCTGCATATGAATGATCACTAAGCACAGTGCCAGGCACACAGTAGGTACTCAGGGACAGGTAGCTCCTATTAGGGTCATAATGAGTGAAATCAACAAGCACAGCCCCTGGCATACAGTGGGAGCATAATAACTGTAGCAAAATAAATGAAATCACCAAGCACGTAGGGCTGGGCTTAGAGTAGGTGCTCAGCAACTGGAGCTGCTATTGGTAAAGTGGACGACACGACCTAGCACAGAGCTTGGCACATGGCAGGTGTTCACCTGGCAGCTGCCATTAGAACAGGTGAGTGACCAGCACATCCAGGTGCCTGGTGATTGGGAAGGACAGTCAGGAACTAGATTCCAGGAAATTCAGGCCTGGAGCAAACAGCGGGGGGAGGAGCGGGCTTGGGAGCTTGGGGGCAGGTGGGGGCTTGGGCTGGGGGTGAGGGGCGTCTACCTCGGAGGGTCTCAGACAAGTTGGCTGTCCCACGAAGAGGAGGGCCCCCCTGCAGGGTGACGTGGGCCACCTCACAGATGACCTGGGAGCGAACATCCCCCGGGGCCAGCACCACCTTGGCTGTGCTGGAGATGCTGTAGGAAACGTTGTCTCCCTCTGGGTCCACGTTGGTCTGGGAGGCTGGGAGCTCATTCCCATTTTTGAACCACTTCAGGGTGATGTTTCTGGGGGAGAAGCCGTGGGACTCGCAGGTGAAGCTCACTGTCTGCTCAGGTGGGACCCTCGCCGCGGGGCCTGATACCACGGGGGGAGAGGGTTTGGCTAGAAAAGGAGCATTTATAAACAATAAACATGACTGTGATTGTCATCACTGACCATAAGCGTGTGACACTGTTAAGAACATTCACATACATTATTTTTAATCCTTCTAACTGTGCTGGGAGGGCGGGTCATCATCCTCATCTTACAGAGGAGGACACGCAGGTTCCCAGGGGTGAACTCTGAGGAAGGGGCAGGGCAGACATGCAATTCCAGGCCTGAGTTCAAAGTCCACCTTCTTTGCTCTGCCAGGTGATTTCCCACCAGTCTGGGCACAGGAACAAAATTACTGATGGGTCTCACTCTGTATAAAGTGTTCCTAGCTGGCCTCCTCTGGAAACCCTACCAACTTCAGAGAAAGTGTTTACAGAAGTAAATGCAGGGGAGCAGTGGCATAGCGGGACCACCAGGAAAGCTGGAACCAGGCTGGCCAGCTGACGAGAGGTGTGGCTGTGGCACATCCCAGTTCCTCATCTGTGAAATGGGGCAGCAGACATCTCTCCTTCCTGAGGTTGCAGTGAGGGCTAAATCAGGCAATGGAAGCATTTTTGCTTTGAATAAAACAGAAGATGCTTCACAGAAATAAACAAACACAGATCTGTCTTTAACCCAGACTTAATTTATATCCAGAGCTCTCCCTGCAGGTATTTATGAATTTACTCCATAGTTTTCTTTCTTTCCACTAATATTCCAGTAGGGTCTAATCTGTGCCATTCCTGAATTTGAAAGGGAGGGGGCAAAAGGATGTTTTTCGGAATCTGGGTTCTTATTTTGGGTCAGTTTGGGGTTGAAAATAAAGATCACTGATGCTGAGAAAGCCAAAGGTGGTTAATTTCTTAATCATTATTAAATCAGCAGACACACAGACACAGGCCTTTGAAGTAGGCAGAAGCAGCTCCTGTGTCCTGAAAACATAAAGAATAAGTGAATCAAAAGTGAGGGCAGTTTCTCCCCGTAGAAGGGTCCCATAGGGTGTCTCTAAATTGGTTTTTTTTTTT